ATTGCACAGTGGCATAATGTGCAACTTCTGCCTATCCCTTTGGAGGATAATAAGCGTGATGTTATGAAAAAATCCCTTAGTTTTCCACTTTAACAACTGACAAGGAAACCGAACAAAATTTGAAATAAATGCTAATTAAAACAAATCCAATTCCACAAAACAATAGAATATCTGTGAACGGACCGTTGACAGTTGACACTTGACGTACAGGATGGTACTTCACCAAATAGAAAAATTAAATTAATATCAACTGAATGCTGAATCAAGTGAATGCTTGAACTTTAATTTTATTTTAGACCTTCCGTATTTTTTTGGGATGTAGCTTCTAGGTGCTAATACTAATTTTAAAACATCGATAGCCTGCTTTTCGATGGCTGATCATAATAATAGTACCCATTATCGTAAAATTATAACATATAATATGGACATATAACAAACCATACTAACCTAATTGAGTCGACTCAACGCCGTTTTGTACGCTTCGTGTCACATAGGTATGGCTTTTTTTTAAGGTCGGAAAATCATCGAAAGACTGCTCCCGCCTGGGTGAGGTAGGAGGGAGTGCCAGACTCTTACTGACTAAAAATCACCCCGTTTCTTTTCCTGCACATCGAGCCGGGGCCCCGGTAACCCGTTAGGTTCTCCGCGACACATAGGTATGGTAAAAGGGAACTTTAGACGTATGCACAGCGTTCTGCTCATTTTGGGTTGCCGAACTTGGGAATTAGGGCGGTCATATCAAGATTTGCACTCTAGCATCACGTAGTAGTAGTATATAGTAGCAGTATACTATGATGTAGTATAGTGGCGCTTCATAGCAGTAAAGCGTGTTGTGATTGTGTAGCACTACGTAGCAGGATAACACAATGTTGCAGTAAAGCACTTCGTAGCAGTATAGCACCATGCAGTATTGTACTACGTAGTTGTCTAGCACCAAGTAGCAGTACAGCACCATGCAGTATTGTACTACGTAGTTGTCTAGCACCAAGTAGCAGTATAGTACCATGCAGTATTGTACTACGTAGTTGTCTAGCACCAAGTAGCAGTATAGTACCATGCAGTATTGTACTACGTAGTTGTCTAGCACCAAGTAGCAGTATAGTACCATGCAGTATAGTACTACGTAGTTGTCTAGCACCAAGTAGCAGTATAGCACCATGCAGTATAGCACTTCGTAGCAGTCTAGCTCCAAGTACCAGTATAGCACCAGGTAGCAGTATAATGCCACGCACGAAACAGTAAAGCGCCACGTAGCTAAAAACATGAATACCATTATTTAGAATAAGAATGACACAAAACAGAATAAATATTTGTTTTAGAATAAAATCTGAGACGAGATAGTACGGGATTTAGACAAATCTTGTTCTGTCCACCCACTCCAAATATTCAAGCTAATCGTTTTGTCAACCATCCAAACGGAGACACAGGGTCGAATTGGGGCGTATTGATAGTTCAAAAGTGTTTTATTTTCTAGAAAATTATTGATCACTTAATGCTGTATATTTTGTTATTCGGAAGGCCAATATTCAGAATCGAGACAATATTTCGCACAATGGCAAAAAAATAGGTAATAAACAACGATCGGTGACTTTTTTATTGAAAACTGTGTTACAATATAGCTATCGTAAATCTAATCATAGTTAAAATATTTTTATTCTGGACTAATTATAGTATAAGCAAAATCAATACATAGTATAAAACAAAGTCGCTTTCGCTGTATGTCCGTATGTATGCTTAGATCTTTAAAACTACGCAACGGATTTTGATGCGGTTTTTTTTAATAGATAGAGTGATTCTTAAGGAAGGTTTGTCTGTATAATACACGCATATTGCACCCGTGCGAAGCCGGGGCGGGTCGCTAGTTAAAATATAAATTATGATGTCAAAATATCAACATTCTCTCGCACAAATTTCTTAGAAATCAAAGCAAATATCCTTAATTAATTAATTATTAAAGTTCACAGGTCCTTGATTGGAAATAATGTTATAGGAAAAATATATGCTTTAAAATAATATTTTTAGAAAATTTAATTACGAAATCTTAATTAGGTATCGATTTATTTTATAGACTTGCGATGTTTCCCTGCTTCCCGAAATTCTTTGTTTTATTATAATACTAGCTTTTACCCGCGGCTTCGCTCGCGTCACAAAAGGATAAAAAGTAGTCTATGTGACATATACCAATACATACAGCGCCATCTATACCAATACTTTTGTTTTCCCTCGGGAATATCAAATTTTTTCGGGATAAAAAGTACCCTATTATTTAATCCAGACTACTAACTTTACGTCTGCAAAAATTCAATGTAATCGGTTTAGTAGTTACGGCGTGAAGTTGGAACAAACAAACAAACAAACAAACTCACTTTCCCATTTATAATAGTATAAGGATAGTAAGGAAGTAAGGATAGCTTTTACCCGCGGCTTTGCTCGCGTCACAAAAGGATAAAAAGTAGTCTATGTGACATATACCAATACAAACAGCGCCATCTATACCAATAATTTTGTTTTCCCTCGGGAATATCAAATTTTTTCGAGATAAAAAGTACCCTATTATTTAATCCAGACTACTAACTTTACGTCTGCAAAAATTCAATGCAATCGGTTTAGTAGTTACGGCGTGAAGTCGGAACAAACAAACAAACTTACTTTCCCATTTATAATAGTAAGGATTATTATCTTAAATATTTTTTTTCTATCTAACACACAACATACAGTTTATTTTTATTTTCTTTATTATTTGTCTTTTCGACCTACCACCCGTGAGTCACTGTGGGGTGCCACCAGAAAACCAGCGTAGAGTGTTACCACGCTCTACATAATGCTGAGGTGGAGACCCGATCGACATGGGCATGCTTCAAATATTTTTGCTAATTTTGTGATGTTTATTTTTTGTTTTATTTTGTTTTTATTTATATATTACTAGCTTCTGCCCGCGACTTCGTACGCGCAATCTTGAAAAATTTTAGGGTTGGTCTACCCCTAACATTTAGGGGGATTAAAAATAGATGTTGGCCGATTCTCATAGATACCGGATAAGCACAAACAATTTCATAAAAATCGCTCAAGCCGTTTCGGAGGAGTATGGCAACGAAAACTGTGACAGCATTTTATATATTAGATTTTTTTCATTTTTGTCTACATCTCTGTGCATGCAATGTGCCGAATAAATGTTTTTCTTTCGTTATTAATTTCGAAGAGCTGAGCCTCAGACGAACCTTAAATTTGAGATATTATAGTGATATGTATAGCCATTATATAAATCGTACTTTATCGATACGATTCCTACACCTACATAAACATAAAACTCCTCCAAGACCTAAAATATAATAATAAATTCTAAATCACTCATATTTCACATTAATTTAAGATTCAATATCGCTAAATTCTGCTAAAGCTCAGGTTTCCAATTTGAAAAAATGCTTTAAGGCGTTATAAATTAGGTCTTAAATGCCTATTTGTCAAAATCCCCGGGTTTTGCTGGCTTGATGTTTTATCCCTTTATTCGGAGTGAAAGGGTAAATTGACTTCTTATCCGGTTGGCAGTTGTTTCTCATGTAATTTACTTGTGAACGCTTGAGTTGTCATGTTCGCCTGGTACTCGGAATGTAGATGTGCGCATTAATTTGAACGTGTTTTTAGTAAAGTATTACTGGATTTTTTTTTAATTCTCAGTAGTAGCACGGAGTCTGGAATTGTGCCTGGTATATGGCAATAGGCTCACCCCCTATTACATGGGACTCATAACATTAATAGTAAAAAGTGGGTGTTACATTGTACAATGGCATAATGTGCACCTCTGCCTACCCCTTCCGGGATAAAAGGTGTGATGTTATGGATATTATGTTTCTAATAAAATTTGCCTCTCTTTTTTAAGGCACTTGTAATGGATATTTTTCTATTAAAATTTCAAAATATTTATACACAATATATAAATAAAATTAAGAGTGTCTGTTTGTATTATTTAAAATAACAGCTTTTTACTACATGCATATGACATACGATAGGTACACATACCAAAATAAATAATTTTTAATTTTTTGTCGATCTGTTTGAGCTGGCTTATCTCTAAAATAGTTGGACCACTTTTGACGCGACTTTTACTGGCAGATAGCTGATGTACTAAAGAGTAACATAGGCTATTTTTATTTTGGAGAATTGAAATGAAAAATTTATGTCCTAAAACTCGTATTCTACGCTGATGAAGTCACGGGCAACAGCTAGTTTATTATAATTTTTTATAGTTCTTATAGGAAAAATGACATTTATAATGTCATTATAGAGGTAATATGGCACCCACAATAAATGAAGATGAAATTACATTTTAAATTCAATCCACAATGAACACTATTCATTCACACATTAAAATCTAATTCCCAATGAATTTTTCACATTTTATAACTCACTAGCGACCCGCCCCGGCTTCGCACGGGTGCAATATGTATATACATACAAACCTTCCTTAAGAATCACTCTATCTATTAAAAAAAACCGCATCAAAATCCGTTGCATAGTTTTAAAGATCTAAGCATACATACGGACATACAGCGAAAGCGACTTTGTTTTATACTATGTATTGATTGTGGCATGGAACAACGGCGACTACAACGCAACGATGACGTCACGTATTCGTCCACTGCTAGACTATAATAAAGATGTATTTAAAGGATCACCAACACCGATAATATTGTTACTCTATTGGTGTGAGGCTGGCCTTAACTCGTCGAGTACCGTCATTATAGACACAATTATAGAACAATAGGTTGCGGTCACCGGTGACCGCTTGGTGTTTGACAGTTTAAGGATGTTTAATATGTAACCTTCATTAATTTAATTCACACGTTTGTTTCAACACAGCAAAAACGCAAATATTACTAAAAACACAAAAAAAAATTAAATTACTAATAAACACTCAGGTCTCCTAGTTTTAAATCCGTCCCTGTGTACGGTCAGACACAAAGTCACGCACGATTAACTTTTACATATCGAATAGTTTTGTCTACGATACTTTTCTATTGTTTTTCCCAAAGATGTCTTTGTTCTATACGGTTAGCAAAAAAAGACCGACTGCCGATGAATTCATATTTTATTGTACCTAATAGTTGGATTACATTTTTTGCTGTCTCTAAAATTATTATTTTTTCTTGGAGTCTGGATAATAGAAATATAGTTTTGGATTTTGATAGCCTAGACAAAATGAGAAATAAGGGCTTTTTACTACTTTTCACGAGGATGCTCACCCTAGATGCTTATCATATGCCATGCACAATATCAAACCTCGTCCTATTTACATATTAAAAAGTAAACATACATTACCCCGACCTGGACACTCAAATCCTAAACCACTTCTCCGTTGAACTTGTGAACGCTTAACCAATGAAGTAGTTATTATTTCCAAAAACGAAAACATATAACATAACATCACGCCTTTTTATCTCTTAAGGGATAAGCAGAGGTGCCACATTACGGCGCTTAATGCCACCGTACAATGTAACACCTACTTTTCACTATTTATGTTATGAGTCCCATGTAATAGGGGTTGAGCCTATTGCCATATACCGGACACATTTCCGGACTCCGTGTTCCTACTGAGATTTTTAAACCTCAGTAGGAACACGGAGCCACTTTGCCCGACCTGGGAATGGAACCCGAGATCCCTTGCCCGACAGTAGCACATGCGACCACTTAGCCAACGAGGCAGTCAAAAAAGAAAAATATTTTCAGCATGTTCCAAACGACAAAATCCATTCGAACACGTTCCGTTCATGCAACAAATAAATCCATTTTTCCAATATTTGTTTTGTTTAGAATATAAATCCTTTTTTAAGCCCGTTGGTGTTTATACGAACATTCTCGTTTGTTTAATTAAATTTCAAAAACATGTTATTGACAGCTTATACATATATATTGTTTAAAATTAAATACGTACCTGTATTTGATTTTAATTTTGTCAAGGGTTATATTTGATATTCATTTTGAAAGATTGATTATTTTGTTTTTTTTTTGAGAATGGAATCCTGTAGGTTTTCGGTTATTTATTAAGCTTCTGAGGGCCAAGCACGAATAACTATTGCATTCGTATCGTAACAGTATCGAGCGAGTTAAGCGTTCTGATTGGTTGGTTCAATTGAGCCGGCCAATCAGAGCGCCGAACGCCCTCGATACTATTACATTACGAATGCGATAGTTATTCGTGCTTGGCACTCTGTTATAACTTTCGTGAGACATACTAAATAAATTATTATGTTTTCGGCTTACTCACGTAATTATTTGACGAAAACCGCGCGACAGTCGACGCCGACAGCGCGACAGTCGCCGCGTCGCGGGTCGCAAAATGCTGCTCATGAATATGAGCCTCTAGCATGGCTTAAAACTAGTAAAGTTCCTCATCAAATAACTACGTGAGCCGATAACATAATAATTTATTAAGCTTATTTCTAACATAATGTTACTATTATATAACTGGTGAAAATTTAGTAGGTAAATTAGGTACGTCATATTGGAAGTACCTGTTTCCCTTTTTCGAGTTATCAAAAGCAGTACTTTTTTTCTATGACTTCATTCATCAACTTCGTTTCTTGCTCGTTCTTCTCCATAGAAATCTACACCTTGGAATGAGCAAATAGCTTCACTTTAAATTATTTGTTGACCTCTAAAGTGCCTTTCTGGTCTAATTGAAATAAATGATTTTAACTTTTGACTTTGAATTTGACTTAATTGACATACCTTGACCAAATTGAGTAAAAAATATTTGTTTTTTCTAAGGGGGGAAAATCATCGAATGACTGCTCCCGCCTGGGTGTGGCGGGAGGGAGTGTCAGACTCTTACTGACTAAAAACCACCCCGTTCCTTCTCCTGCACGTCGAGCCGGAACTCCGGTTACCCGTTAGGTTCTCCGCGACTCCAAACAGGCACTCAAACGCACTCAATTTTCAAAAATAATTTGATAATATTTTATCACGTAGCCAGAAAAAACATTTTAAAGTAAAGGCTTTTTGCCTTCCTTAACAGTTTTGTTTTGTAAACCAAAAAGTGATCAACAAAAAGTTGTTGAAGAAATTAAAAAAATACGCACGTATGTACCTATTAAAAGTTAAGAAATAACTTGGCCATTTATATGAGTGCCGTTAAGAAAGTTCTAGGGTTGATTCAAATTCAACCTGAGTATCGAACCTCATTTGTTACTCGTGATTCCAGGGCCACAGTTCTTCACTGCTGACTTTTTTTAAAATATTTTTTAATCGTTGCCATCGACCCTCACGACAGTTGGCAGGCCACAACTGTGCGCTTCTCACGTAGCTTTCTGCCTCGCACAGCAAAACTGTGGAATGATCAGTCGTCGGCGGTATTTCCGTACCGATACGACCTTCAAATCTTCAAGAAAAGAGCGTATTCCTTTTCAAAAGGCCGGCAACGCATCTGTGGCTCCTCTGGTGCTGCGGGTGTCCATGGGCGGCGCTAATCGCTTACCATCAGGTGATCCGTATGCTCGTTTGCCTCCTATTCCATAAAAAAAAAACACTAGGGTCCTTCTCCCGTGTCATCGACGTTTTTTATAAGTATACATGTTCATATCCACATGACACCCACAGCTGAAATTGCAATTTGTGGATCACACAATTACATAGGTAGTTGCAATGTGCGGGAATCGAACCCGTTACTCATTATGCGGCAGCCAGTTGCCCAACGTTAGTATTAGTAATCACGTTTAAGAAAATCATCGTGAAAAGAATAATGCGACTGCCTGTTGGTACCCTAATTCTATAAAAATATAAAATGCCTATCATCTAGGCTAAGGCCCGTTTCTGGGAAATTTATGAAATTGTGAAAAATAATCACCAATTTAGAGCAAAATGTTAAGTGATGTAACTATTTGAGATTTTTGTTAATCTCTTGAGAATATTAAATTTCTTAATTTAAAAACGAAATACCTGACATTTTAACTTGATTAGGAATGTATAAAAATAGGTAGGTAAGGGACGAACAAAAAATATTTTGCCTAAAAAGAATTTACAATTTGAAAGATTTTTCTCTTTTCAAATTCCGAAGTCGACATTAGCATTTTGGTCAGAAAATAGTAACGCACGAATAACCACAGAATAGAAAACCCGCGCACTATTTTTTTTTATCTGTGGCCAAGACCGAATACAAAGTACCTCCGGCCTTTAGAAAAACCTCCTTTATCATGTAAATAGGGTAAGAACGTGTGAAAACCGTTACCAGTGGTAAAATAATTTATTTTTTATGTTTTTTTTTTATTTCGGGTTTATATTTTTATTGCATTGGTTGAGGTTTGTGATCATTGTTTATTTTGTTTACATTGAAAAAGTGCTCAGAGTGTTTACAGTGATTATAGCCGAAATCAGGATAGGTTATAATAAATTAACTACAAATCGCGGGTAACTCACATTTCGAACCGCAGAGGGATTCTTCCTCATAAGCAGCGTTGGCGCTTGCGTCAGTGTTGTTAATTGCGCTGCGAGCCCACTGCATCAGACATCGAAACTATTACAGCTTTTTTCAGTATTTTCACGTGAGTAACATGTGATTTTTAATTAATTTAGTTTGTTCTACGATATTAAAAAAA